CTTGTCAAGATAATTTATCTCACCATGACAACATACAACTTTTATTATGTCGACTTGTCAAGATAACCTATCTTGTCATGACAACAAAACATTTTTAGTATGTCGACTTGTCAAGATAATCTATCTCGTCATGTCGACATGATATGTATATAATGTCGACTTGACAACATAATTATCTTGACAAGTCGTCAAGTCGAATGGCACTTAGGTGCTTCCGTAACTCTCACCCCTTCAACACATTATTTAATAATACGTACAGTACCTGTTGTTTTGCTTTACTGCTCAGCAAATTTAATTATTACCAATAAAATTGATGCGATTTTTATATTGTTTTTGCGTGCATTTCTTTAGATCTGATTATATTTTTCCAAGCACACATTCTTCGTTGGGCAATGCTGGTTGGTAGTCTAGTTGTAAACAGAATAGGTCGCGCCCCCAAAAAATCTGCCTGCCCGCCAATTGGTCCATTTTCGTGGGGTGTTTTGCACTAGACATCTACTTTGGCTGTGATGATGTCAGATCGCCCAAAGTTTCATAGTGCGTGACAGTAAACAAGCTCGGTGTAATAAAGAATGTTTTGTTAAACAAATTTATAAAACAAAGCAAAAAACAAATATGAAACCCTCATGGTATTATTTTAGAGTAAAATCTAAATAATTAACCTAACAAATTAGTTTTTATTCTCTACAAATTTCTTCCATAATAAAATTAGCAACATGTTTTGAATAGTATGTTGAGGTGCATTTGCAATTTACACTGACGAATCTAACGAATTTGAATTAGACGTCTACTAAAAAGAGAATAACCAGTAGGAACTTGCTTTGTCGAGTTCCGTCTTTATTTCAGGTTGATTACAAATGGTTTTTAAGGATTAAAAGCAAGAATATACACTAATTAAAACATTGGAATGCATACCTAAATTTCAATAATTAACCAACAAAACGTCTACTGGCATGTCATGTTAATCAACTGATAATCTCCATGGCAATGCGAGTACAGCTAAGCGTCTCGTTTTCACAACGTGTGGTATGCTTGTCGTTAAACGATATCTATTTAACCATCTTCTGGTTTTTCCAATGAGTGTTACCATCCTGAATTGGACAAATCGTCCGAGATTCGGAATAGGGAGTTCAAGTTTTCATTAAAAGAAGAATAGGAATGATTTTGGGACTTTAAAAAAATGTTCGGTTTTGCGAGAAATTCGATTTTGTGGGCATTGAGTACACATAGTATTGTTCTATGTTAATATATATATATTTTTTTTTTTTTGAAAATTTGCAAGTCGAAATCTGTATACTCGATCTTTTTATGCCAGTCCCATTAGATTCGACTTAGGCGGAGTCGACTGTATTTTATCACTGTACATTTTTTTTTTAAGTTGATATATTAAGCTGTATTTTTAAGCTTGAAATCAACGTACCTTGTTCATAGTCGACCTGACCTCATTTTACCGCACTATAATGGGATGAACACATTATCGAGGATGATTACTGTGCTCAACAATTTTGTCCTTGGATTCAATTCTTGGTAAATTGATTAGCTACATCTGGTATGAGCATGGAGGTATGGTATGAGCACCCATGCTAGGCCATCCAAGGAACAGGGGGCACAATCCACAATCCCTCAATAAACCACTGAAATACTCCACAATGTAGACTGTATTCTTATGACTACTGTATATTATGATGGTTATGACTAGCATATTTATTTTGATCACTAAGACAAATAAACATGTCAGGCAAAAAAAATGTCAGGCAAATCGCCCCCTGCAAATACTCCAATTTTTGAAGGTTTTGCATTTTAAAACATTTTATTAATTAAACATACTCTCCCTAAATATAAAGATCAAAACTTTTGAATCAACCCTCCGAAATGATCAGATTCCCTTATTTCAATCACTAGCCAACAAAATATTTAATTGTTTAACATTCCCTTTACTTCTGAGCTTTATTACTACTTTTATGTTTGTTGCTATTCATAGATGGGTGGTTTCTACTTGTACATGTATTTAACAACTAATGATTTGTGCTTTATTTTGTTGTATATCCGTATCTATGGCCTATGATATCTCTGTTTATTAAATATTTTTGACAAAAATGTGTTTTACAACTTAATTTGATGGTCAGTGCTAAAAGAAAAATTTAAATTTCTGTTTTTTCCATAGAAATTTAGTTAACAGGCTTATACCAAAACTGATAATATTATCATTTGCAATAATATTTTTAAAATACCTAAATGGAGTGATGATAAATTATGCCATTTATTTTGGATTATTGTAACAATAATTTAAATTTAATAAAAAAAACTTCAACTTCAACTGACTCTGAATGAAAAATAAATTAAAACAATTTGCATTTTACTGATTTACAGAATTTGTAATTTTCAAAACAAAAAATTAAATAAAAGCAAAATAGGGTCTGCAAAAGGATACAAGAGATATGTAAAAGTGTTATTATTCAATTTTTTTTCTCATTCTAATTTTAGTTGAAAACTAAGAACTTTACTAAACTAATGCTTTACTTTTTTTAGTTTAACGAACTCATTTTTAAATAAGAACACTAAGACTGAAATTGCTTAAAAATTAAATAAGAACAAATTGAGGCTGAATTAAAAATCAAATGAGGTTTTTATTTTTAAAAAGCTAGAACGAATAAATCTTACCTATACGTTATTTGCAGTATTGTAGGTATGACTATTTTAGTTGTCGTATAGCATAAATGTAATAGAAATACAACAAACTTTTGTGTGTTAACATATACAAA